TTAAATTGAGGGTATGTTATGCAGAAAGTTCAAGCATTAATTAAGTAAATATCTGGGGGAAAATATCTGAGGTCAACAGGATACATCAAGCCCACTGATGATGAATAGTTAAAAATTCTTGAAACAGCGTTGTATGGTCAGCCAAAATTCAATAAATTAACTACATTTTTGTGTTTATTCTTTCTTTCTTTGCTATTCGAAACCCTCGAAATTATCTTGTTATAAAAAATAAAATTTCTTATAATATATTTACGAACAGAAACAAAATTTCAATTATTTAGTATTAAAAATGACGAAAAAAACTTATTACTTATTATTATTAAAATTACTTATTAGAAATTATTAATTAAAATTAAATTGATATAAAAAAACATACTAAACATGTTGCATTTACTAGTCACACCTATTTTTAGATACATATAGGTATGTAATCTTGCTTTGTAATGATAAGCTACTTTATAATGATACGTAATCTAACGATAAATCTTTTAACTTTTGTTTTTGATTTATTTTTAAAGTGTCAGATGGTCTTTTAGTTATGTACGAAAAATATTAATGTAATTGTCAATGGTAAATATATAACATATGACCATACATAAGAAAAAGATATATGTATATATATATATCATAACAAAACTTTTTGATTGTCATAACTACTATTAAAAACCTGTTACCATACTTTTTATAGTTGAACAGATTATATTGGAAGTATCATGAATAATTTGAAGCAATTCTGAAACATCTGTACAACTGTTGTCTCATAAAGACACAACAAATACGCTGGGCAGGCTATATAAACGAAATGACTGTTAACTGATATTTCAAAATTGTATGTCACGTTCGTCACGATCTAAAAATGAAAATAATCTATACCTATTGATAATCTGTGGGCTTATGCTCCACTGAAATATGAGGATAAGAAAGGGTTTATAATCTCAAGAGCAAAACAAAAGACATTTTTAAGCATAACATATACTCTTTTTGTCTTCTACACTAATAGAAACAAAAATTCTTGGGGTTCCAAAATTGTTCCCACAAAATGAAGAGTAGTTTCTAGAAATATGTATTTGCTGTAAAGCCAACCATCTATTGCTAATTACATACGTTAGTAACGTAGATCTTTTATTAAGGAAATATCAAAATAACATAACATTTGAACAAAAAAAAGTGAGTTTTTGGAATTTAGGTTCCCATTTGGAATAGAACACTGCGACTATCAGTTATTTTATACTTCAGTTAACTTAAGCAATGAATCAATTAAACTTGAACAAATAATTCGGTTTGAAAGAAAGTAATTGTACAATGATCTCATTATATTTACATCTAATAATTAAATACAAATAAATACAAAAAAAGTCCACACAACACACAATCTACACAATCATATTTAATAATTTTAAATGCAAAATTCAAAATAATAGATATTGTATTATAAAATAAATTCAGTATTTAGAAAACGTTGCAATATTTTATTTTACATTTTATATAAAATCCATAAATATATATTATTTTACATTTAATGAAAATCACAATTATGCAATTTATCCAACTATAACGACTCTATAAAAACCAAATGTCCTTTATGATGAATGTCAATTTTATTTTCAAACAATCTATTCTATAGTATGTCATATGCATTAAATATGAGCACAAATAGTACATCATTTGTATTATCTGCACTCATTTTAATTAGAGCAGAACAACTGTTGCATATCAAGAAATAAAATGTTGCTGCATGTAAATTAATTTTAAAGGAATTGCAAAAAAATAATTGCTATTCTATGGAAATTACAATCCACAAATTGTTTGTTTATATTGCAATTATCAAATAAACATGCACATAACACATTAATTACACAAACGGATCTATGAAATTCTTTACATAAAATATGCAATATCTTTATAGCTAAAACGCTTCGCTCATAGTTTATTTGTAATCTTTAGAAATGTAAAAATTGCTCAAGCAGAAAGGATGCATTTTATAGAAATTCTTTTGATCTGAATATTGCAAATTCCTCCAAAACAATTACACATTTTATTAGTTTGTTTGGGAAATGCAATAATTTGCAGTGTTTATAAATATAAAATTATTTCTTTCAAATTTTTTAGTTACTTTTTTATTAATAGGTTGGTTAGAGTGGAAAAAGTCTGATACTAGTCGCCAATTTAGATATAAATTTAAGTTAAGTTGAAAAGATATCAATTTTTTTCTACTCACAGTATCATTAACCAGATCATTCATATACTCAAGTGAATAGAAACAAGAAATAAACAGAAGAACATTAAATTGTATCTCATGATAATTAAACCTAAGTTTCAGAAGTTTATTCAGGTCTACGGCCCGAAGCCACAGGTCTATTCCAACGACGACGTATATTCACGTTCTAATGCACATACCAATTTCAGTCCAATTGAACTTTAAGTCCGTCCCATTGAAGTAGCTAAATCCACACATTCTTAATCCACTCTTGATCCCAAAAAATAACTTTCTATTTTACACTAACTTCACCCAACCATATTCTAACCTACCATATGTATACATATTTGTTATTTCTTTCATTTTATCTGGCATATGGATCTCCACAGGTTATCATAACAATTACCAATCATCAGCCGCTCACACTCTCAAGTGAACCACAACATAATCGAAATTATATTTTAAAGCACCTGCTGGTATTGCATTGAAGAAAGGCTTTAAATGCGAAATAGTATCACCAAACTGTAATGAGAAAATTAATATAGAATACTCGTACAATTGAATGTCTAATATAATTTTATAAGAATAAAAGATAAAATTTTATTCTAAAGTACCGTTGAGTGTCTCAATTCGCAGTGAATTCCCAGTGAATTCGCAGAATCATAGGTAAATAGATAGATGTGATTGACTACGATTGACAATATATAGGCAAGGCCTTAAGTGACTCTTTTCATCGTACAATCATAGAATAAGCATAAGTAGATAGATGCAGTGAAATAATTAATTAATTAATTATTAATAATTAATTAGTGATTAATACTATTGGTTATTCTATAACAACTCGACCTTATAGTTATTAATAGACCAGTAAATTCCGTCACTTTTAAATCTCAGTAATACTATAACATTTTATTGTTTATTTTTTATTTGTTTATGAAACTAATCACGGCACATTTAATCAGATTTAACACATGTAATAATCTAATAATCTAAATTATAAAGTAATAAAAAGTTTTAAAAAAGTGTATGAAAATCTCTAAAATTGTACAATATAGACCAGTCTCTCTGGACAATTAAAATATTCAATGTGCTTTGCGAAGATCGACAATATCTTCTCAAAAAATAAAATCGTCTTAGGCGAAAATACAATATATAACCAGCAGCTATCCGCAGGTCACCAATTTAGAAACCCTGATATAGGCCATACTATAATATCTCTCGTTATATATGAGACGACTATTTTATATATAACAAAACTTATCACTTAGCGAACTTTAAAATAGAAATTTACAAGAGGGCAATATTTTTTTGCAACGATTTATTATAGCTTATTACAGTATACAATGATAAAAATATTACAAAAATACATTTGTTTGAATAAAAATCAACAAAGAAAATTATGATTAGCAACCTTTTAAAGAAAAAATTTCAATACTTTCACTGTTTGCAATGAAAAAAAAAATATATATTATGAACGCAGTAAAACGTGCTCAGAAAGCTGCAATAAAACTTTTTAACAAAATGAACAAAAGTAAAAAATATTTGTGTATATAACTTGATATATTCGTACGTAATATATATTGCAAATATTTACATAATAGTAAACATCGTAAAACTGTTGAGGTTTGGGGAGTAATATTCAGCTGATTTAAGTTGAAAGCAACACAAATGAAAATACTAAAATTAGTTATCTTCATGAATTTGCTCTATTCAATATTTAAATAATGCAATAAACTGATTCTATCTATAAAAACAAAATAAGTTGAAGCCTATACAGGGAACAACAACGTACAGTAAGGATTCATTTATGATCTCGCTGCAAATCGATCGTGATAGGAATCTATAAGACCTTCTGGCCCCCACACTATTATTTGAAAAATGTAACATATATATGTTATAAGTACAATAGTACACTGTCACCAACTAAATCTGTTCTGTTAATGTCCGACTATATAATATATTTATATATAGAAAACTTGAACTTTGAATTGAATTTATTTATAAGAGGTTTTCATCCTGAAGTGTCATTTTCATCTGTACTTCTTTTTAAACTAAATGACTACTCACAACAAATGAAGTTATCCTTCTTATTTTATTTTAAAACAAACGCAAATATAGTAGTTTATCGAGTCATTCTTAAAATGAGCAAGTTGATGACCTATTACCTATTCAGAGTAACTTTTATTGGTATGTATGATTTAAAGAGCTGCGAACGAAGACATCTAAGAATAAGATGACCAATAAAAATATAGTTTGAGCTTATAATTTATTCAGGATATATTTTTAAGAGTGAAATTAGTGTTTTATAAATGTTTAAATTCTTGATAAATTCTTATTGTTAAGCAAAAACGTTCGTTAAATAAATCGAAACCAAGGAAGAGTACCAATAAAATGTAAGGCAATTAAATACACATAAAAATGTTAAAAATTTGATAAAATTATTTTATTGATATTTAGAATTCATGTTAACTAGTGTTATTTTAGAATTCTAAACTCAATAAACGCATCTTAGAAACAACCAATACTAGCATAAGAATAAAAATTCTATTTGAATTAAACTGAAATCATCTCTCCAGACTGACAACTCTAACATAGGAGAAATTTAGTTTCATTGGAAAATCACTTCTCTGAATTAATTTCAAATTTAAATTTTAGGTTGTGTAAGGCAACTCCGAGTGCCTTTTATTAAAAACAGTAATAAATAACTACAACTTCTATATACATAATATGAAATAAATAATAAGAAACCAACTCTTTTATTTGAGAAGTTCATATTTTTGCGTTACAGTAATAAACTACTCACCTGTAATTCCGCTCTATCTACATCCCACTGTGATCTTTCCAATTCAAATCTTGACCACTCATGTTGAATGAAATGCAAAATTCCTGGAATTGTATATTGTGGTGTAGTCTGTTGATTGTTTGGTCCACCGGGTCCACCGTTACCATCATCAGCTCCATTACTTCCAGTTCCAACGCCCCCAACACCTGTAGCGTTATTGGCACCACCACCTAAGCCACCAACACCAACGACACCGACACCGCTGCCAGTACCGCCTACTGGCTTATTATTAATGCCAGTGGTGGCTCCTGAATTAGTGCCCATTTGTTAAAATTTTGATATAATTACGTTGGTTGTAATAATGTTGCAGTGTATATATTAACGTGTCGTTTTTTTAGTTTCCAATTCGATTTAAAAATTTTTTGTTTTTTGTTTTGTATTTTATATAATAACGTTATATTTTCTAAATAAACTCTTATAAAAATATCAATCGACTAAATTACACAAACACGATCGAAATGGTAAACACTTAGTAAACTTAGTATTATTGCTTATGTTGTGAGGTTAAAATTGTTATTCCTGCCGTTAAAAATATTTTGATAATTATATTTATTATTTATCTAGTTGTATTCCTATAATTAAAATTATATGATTTTGTTTGTTATTTACTGTGTATGCGTGATTAAGTAAATAAAACTTTTTCTTAAGTACCTTTGTGACCACCGCAATTTTTAGTCAAGTTGCGCAAGTAATTAAAATTACGTTTATTTCTTATACAAAAAGACATTGACCGGCTTGAAAGCGCCTTGGAAATATTTTACTCCTTGTTTCGCACGTTCACTCAACTCAACAAAAAAAATTAGGCTTAGGAGTGTTCCAAATAGGACGCAAAGCAACCACACCGAACTATACAGTTTAGCACAATTTGAAAATGATTTAATTTATTTTACTGTTTCTTTTTCATTATAATTTAAATAGATAAAACCAATTTATGATTTCAATTTATTTTATATATTAGTTTACATATTTCCAATTGTCTCAGTGACCACAAAATGTGACAGTTCAGTCGTCGAAAAATTCTTTGACTCTGAAGTGTACAATTCAGTTTTTGCACGACGTGTGTAGTAAAGAAAAAAACGAATTGTGAATGAAAGCAGAATGGACAAAATAAAAAATACGCAAAAATTTAAGAGTTGCCAATTAAACATACCACAATATTCTGATCCAAAATGTCCAAAAAGGCTATAACTTCACATAAATTTATGTAACTTAAATTTTTTCAATCAACTTCCTTTCAATAAAAAATATAATTAAGATATGAATTATTTGAATTTTTTGATATTATTATAAGATATTAAAGTATTTTTAAAAATAAACAGCATCCTTGTGAAATTTCAGTTTATTTAACCTTAAGCTATGTTACTATTTGAACATAGCAAATTTAGAATTATATTATACTATTATCTATCATTAAAATGTATATTTATATTTAGATAACATATGGTTATTATCACCATCATCGTATTAGATCTTTGCAGAATCACTAAATTCACAATTTTGATTTGAAAATAAAAAAGTATTATAAAACATGTTTCCATTAACATAAGAAATCAGTAAATACAATCCTTATAAGAAGCTTTTTTTGGTAGAAACGTCTGTACTTTTAACATTAAACATTATAATATTTTATATTACTATATAACTTTCCGGATGCAAAACTCCTCACACTGTCACTGGAAGAAGTTTATTCATACGTAAATCAAAACCACTATATCACTAATAAAGATAGAAGTAATAAAACAATAATAATCTATCATCGTTGCTATTTCTGAAAATAATAAAAATTTCTTTACACTACAGATATTGTAGGAAAATTAACATATTACACACCTTATATATAAAACAATGGTAACTCTAATTAAAGTGCATGTTACAATACAAACACAAAGTATACTATACTTTTGCACTCTCACTTGAGCAAAGCAGACAGCTAAAATAAATAAAATAAACTGCACTGATGTCAGCTCTTCCCCATGTATTACAACCTGAGTTTGTGAATGAGCAAATTTGACGAATGTGTTAGGTAGTATGCATAAATATAGCATTATACAAGTGTTGCCAATTTAACAAAATTTGTTGATTTTGCAAATGGGACGGTCATAAGAAAATGGAAAACTTTAACTATTTAAATGTATACAAAAACAAACAGAATAAAAAAACACGGCCAAATGTAATTTGAAGTTCGTTGAGCTTTCAACTGCACGTTGCTTTAGTTGACGTTTATTGTTAGGCGATGTAGCTTAGTAGCTGTTGATAAATCAAAGAAATCAATTTCACTTCGTTAACATATCGTTTATTTCTTGTACGTCTTTTTTTCTTTCTTTCAACAATTTCGACAAATAAATGTACAAAAGCAAACAGCATGAAATAGGTTCTCACATTGGTTGCAATAAGTATTAGTCTATTTTTTTTATTATTATTATTGGATTAAATGCACAATTTTAACTGAATTTTTATTTACGTGCACATCTTGACATTTGAATTGCAGTTTTACACATTTCGTAATATTTCGTTTAAACTATTTGCACAACAGAGTGCAATACAACAAATATAAATTTTCAATCAAAAACTTCATTTCATTATCATGTAAATTTTGTTTCTTTTTGTATTCTTTTCTCTTTTTCACCATATTCGATTTAATTAATTTTTTTTCTTGTTCGGAAGTAAAATTCCAATTCCCTTTCTAACTTTTCCTTTATATTATCCCGTCTTATTTTTTACTCGCTCTTTTTTTAACATTTTTGTATAAGCGCTATAATTTTTATTTAAATAAATAAAAATAATTTAAGCATTTTATTTTATATACAACACTATACGTCTTTACAGTTGTTTTGTTTATTTACTTTTTAATAAAAAATAAGCATCGCTTAACCTTTCAATGTAGAAAATCTTACACTTCCATCACGAATCTTTTCGTTAAAGCGAACAATAAAAAAGCATTTTAGTCTATTTTTGCTTTAGTTTTCTATTAGCTAAACAGAGAAAAAAATATTTTCAGCATTTCGTTGTATTGCGAGGGTGTGTGTGAAATGCTGTGTGCAACTGAAAAAATGGCGTAAATTGAACGAATATACACAGGGTTAGTTTTAGTACTAATTTGAATAAAAAGTAGTAGATTTCGTAAAACATTGGTGCAGGCTTTTTTTAATTTATTTTTGCTATTTTCAGTAAACGATATTTAATATTACGTCCTTATAGATTAATAAAAAAAGTAGAAAAAAGTGGTCTACTAATTTTTCGTTTGAATAAATTTCAGTTTGTCATTTATATTAATATATTAGTATTGTGATTAGCATAAGTTATTAAAATTGTTTTAAATTTCAATATTAATTAGGTAATGTTGGGATGGCAATCTTAAAAACTTACAATCTACTGATTTTAATATCAAAATTATAGAACATACATGTATAAAATCGCAAAACTCTATGTTTTTATTCAATGAACTCTTGTTTACAAAGTTTTCTTTAACAACTTTTTAATTATATACCTAATAACATAATACATTTTTACCTATATAAAATGCACGATAACTTTATATTAAAATCTTAATATATTTAATTTTATGCCAATAGCTATATTTACAGTAATAAATATAATCATTTCTAATACTGGATTCACACTAAAGTTTTATTTGTAATTTTATCTGTAAAAAAGGTTCATTTTGCATTGAATGTATCAACAATGGACAGCTAAAATTACAAACAAAACTTCTGTAAACCCAGTATAATACTTGCTTAACACGGCTTATATGAATGTAAAAATGTGCAATTTGCAAAAGCGAGCTATTAGAATAAATTATTATTTCAAAATATCTGATCTATATAGTTTTATAATTATTAATTGCATAGTAATCATATGTATAATATTTGAATCAATTTGCACTTATTGCTACACATTTATCGAGTTAATTATAAAAGTGTAAACGTTCGAAATATTGTATATTGTTAATTCAAATTATTTACATATCATATGTATGATGTGCATTGCAGAGTACTAGGGATCCAGCCATGTATTCAGACAGACGGACATGTGAATTAAGTGTTGAAAGAGTTGCCCACTAATAAATATTAATTTGTTAATTCTCGGATATGATGATAGTTTTTTTGAGGGTATTCAGATGTAGCTCGGTAACTGTATTACTCACTGAAGTAATAAAATAACAGAAGTCTGAAATAAAAAACCCCTTTCTACATATTTCTCGGCAGTGTTGTAAAATTAAAGTGGCAAGGAAAATTTTGTTTTTGCTCTATTTGTTTCACACAAACGTATGAAAATAGGAAGAAAAGCGGTGAAAAGTAAAATTTAAATTCACATAAATATTTTTAATGCAAAGGGTTTTTAATAGTATTTTTTGTAGTTATTTTTAATATTCATCTCTATTAATATTTTTATGTATTTATATTTCACACACTTCAAACTTCAAATTTTGATGTCAATTATGTGCAACAACTTATAATCAGCTAAATAATCAGCTGATTTTTCATCGAAGATCGAACAGTTTATTAGACGTGGTGGCTCTGTAAATCGTTGACTCGGTAATGTTGGAATTTTAGCTTTATAATAAGTGTTACTAAGACTTTAAAGCTTTACTGAGTTACCGAGTACGTCTGAATACTCCAATTACGTATTGTCAAATAATATTAATGATACACAGATTAAACTGAAACTAATTTTCCAAAAATCTAGAGTTTAAAAACGTGAACTTTCATTTATTTGTTATTCAAAGACAAAAAAGGGAATTTTAATCAAGTCAAACCCAAAAATAACTAATTCATGTAGACGTTTAAATCAATTTAAAGTTTTTAATTTTTTATGCCTGCAACAATTAAATTTTAAGATAACACCATTTAACAATGCCTTTGTAAAAGAGAATACTCTACTGTTGTTGTTTTTCTGCAACAAGAAGTAAAGTTTCATCGTTGCATTAGTTTCAGCTGTCGAAATAAAAAAAATGAATAAACTAAATCTTACTTAAGCTCCCAGTTGATATGTTTGGGAGAAAGTTATTTTTTGAAAAAAAAAAAGCTTTTAAAAAGTACTGTATAAATTTTATTTATACATTTTATTGTACCAACAAGTTATAACATCTCTGGTCTTGTTATATTTCACATTTATTCTTAATGCTCTTAGTCAGGTGTGTCAGCGTATAAGAGTCAATTATAGGAATGAAAGAACGCTCCAACCAAATTTGTATTCCAAGTACTATCTGACCAGTAGATCATGCTATCCGACTAAATATACGTTCTCTGATTTTATTAAAATTACATTGCTCCACCCCAACAATAAAAAATTTGAAATATTACCAGAGCCTATTAGGTTTTTCTAAAATTTTAATTAGTAAATTTTAAATTAGTAAATTCCGTTTCGAAGCTTCTTATAAGGAGTTATAATAATAAAGAGCGTTGTTGTTAGTGTGCCGAAAATATAACTTTCCTACCTTAAGAAATTTCTCTTTGTATAGCAACAGGTTTATACGGCAACGTTTAATTGGCACAATATATATTGTTTTCATCCAATAAAAATCGTCAAGATCTAACATGAATACCGAGCTTGAGTTTCGAGGGGTTGCACATAGAACACGCGTTCTTGCGGATATATTTCTAAAATCGTAAATAAAATTTGAAGTGGCGGTTTTTTTGTACATGTGGGAATTCAATTTTTGTTATAGTTAATGATTAACAATTTTTAGGAGTTGCTATTTTAACTTTTCAGTACACGTAACCGAAAATTGCATTTGTGTAACAAAATAGTGCTTAAAACCTTTTACACCCACAGCTGTTACGTTCTTAATTTTTTACTATAACTGACTATAATTATCATATTTATAAAATAATATACATTTCACACATTATTATTATATTATTTTTTATTGTTACTAAATATATTGATATAAAATAAATTTATCGGTATGCAATTAAATATACAAAATCAATTCATATCAACAAATTATTATAGCATGACGTCACATATAAAATTACACAAATACGCGAATTTATTCAATACAAAGATGTTATTTTTAACTTAAAGTTAACAAAAGTTTTTTCATATTTTGCAAATTTTATTTACAAGTAATTCGTCGAAGCAAAAGTACAAACTAAATACTATTAAAATTGTTATATTTGTTCTTATATTTATTTAAGACAAAAACGAAGAAAGATATTTAAAAAAATCATAAATTGCTACATTAACTTCCCTACCCATATTTGTGTCATAACTAAAAATATACGATTATGGAAATTTTAAATACAGACTCTTTAAATTATAAAAGTATGAAAAATAGAAAAATAATGAAATGTTAACCAGCAAAATAATAGTAAAATATGTCAAGTTCTTCGCTTTGTCTATTGTGCATTGTTTCTAGGATATTTATAAGAATTCTTCGCACCAATCGTTGAGACAGCTGTAACAATCTTTAGCCTGCTTAGAGCTGGCATTGCATGTCTCTTTCATCCATTCCTTGAATAGCTCCTCATCCTTCTTTAATACCAAGTATTGCCCAAGAACAACGTAAGCCTGAAATTATATACATTTTAGATTTTGCAGTTTGCTACTGTAACATAAAAAAAAGCGTTTTCATTGCAGTTTTCACTTAGCGAACATCAAATTTAATGTTATAACTTCGTTGTAAATATATTTTGAGATTAATTTGTTTTGAAATCCGCAATCATACTGTACCTTGTCAAATCCTGCATCCGTAAGGCGTTTACCAAGGGTTTCACCAATGCCCGCCAATTCAGTTACAGCCTTTTCACCCATTGGTTCAGCAACAAAATTGCGATATTTCTGCGTAGTTCCTGGCATATTATTGTGCTCTTTTGTTTAAAAACTTTTACAAATAAATTGAATTTCACAAAAACGAACAGAATATCAAAACAGCACTTATGCTTTAGCACGCAAATTAACAAATAAAATGACGCACATTTACTTCAAATTATTTAGGGCTACCACCATTTCAAAATTATAATTTTATTTATAACACACATGGATGTATTTTCCACAAGCAATTATTAGAATTTCATCGATTTTAAACATTATACGGCGTTTGCATTGTGAGATTATAAGCAGATTAAAGAAATAATCGAGTTTAAAGTACTAGTTTCGTTGCTTAGTCTCAAATTTCCCATATAAAAGTTAATCTCTTCTTGGTCGAGGTTAATTTTAAATCTCCATTGAAATGGTGATTATTTTTCTGTGCAACTCTGAAAATAGCTTAATATCGTAATTTTTTTCACGATTTTAAAGACTTAGAAAAGAAATGTCAAAATTTGTTCAAAACAAACATTGAAAATTTGAAAATGCCGAAGTGAGTAAACTTTTAATAAATTTCTTTAATATTAGTTTTGTGTATAATTATAAGTAAAGTTTATTAAGTTCTTGTTATAAAACTATTTATTAAATTTATAATACAATTTTTTTGTGCAAAATTGTAATTAAATGCTTTATTTACAGAAATTTGTCAAACACACGAAACAAAACACAACAAGAGAAATGTCAAAATTAATCTCCAATGCATAGAGATTAAAAATGTAGATTAACTTAATCTGGTTTTTCTTGATCTCACAATGTAAACGTATATTATTCAACATGATATGATGTTTACAATAAAATAAGGTTATAATGAATACATATACATCTAAACTTCAATAATTATTTAAAATATGCTGCAGCATTTCACGTGATTAAAAACATCAATTTTAAGCATTGTGTAAAAAGTTAAAAGCAGTTTTAAGGGTTGATTGTCATGAGTTACATCTAAACTTCAATGTATAAATATCTAACAATGTATAAATATCCAACAATGTATAAGTTTCAATATTGGCAACAAAGTATAAATATCTATAATGGACAATAATTAATAAGTATCAATAATGTAAACATAAACATTCTGTGCCGCTGAATTCAAAGTGTCATTTGACTCACCGCGCCACAGTGAAAAGCAAACATAAACACAAATGTAATAATTGCATTCCATAACTTATCGCACTCTAAGCATAAATATAAGAATTGTATCATTTCACAATTGTATGAAATATAAACACAAGATCTAATGCTCTAAAGTTCTTTTTAGAAGATTTAGAAGTCAGTCTTGATCCAACTCACATTTGTAACACACTTAATAATTTTACCAATAAAATATAAATTTAAAAGTCTTCATTCGTGTAGTTTTATTACAAACAAGTTTTTTTTATGTTTTTTAATATATAAAAACAAAATTCATGTATTAACTTAGCACAACCTTCAAAGTACTTTTAATTTTTGTGCGCATGCATTCTTAAAAGTGATTTAGAATTGAATGACTCACTTTAATATATCATAGGTTGAATATGTAATCATACATTCATGGAAGAAGAATTTTCATATCCCATTAATGCTATAATGTTAGAACCTGATATTTCAGAACATTATATCAATTTTAATTTCTAAAAAATGATCATTTTTATATACAGCTGTTAGCTGCGTGAATAAAGTAAGTCAACACCACAGCTAAAATGGTGAATTTCAATAGCTAACAAACCAAATGTGAAAGCTTAATATCATTAAACTAAATTGGACAGTGGTTGTGGGTATATATCCTCTGACCAGGTCAAACTAAGCAGATTTTAGCAACTTTACTTTATTTTTAAATATATGAATGTCGATGTGTAGCATTAGTATATGTGCAAACGCATGGAGGTAGTATATTACTACAAATTATTAAAAAACAATATATAAATTTTGCTTAAATGCTTTACAGTTTGTCAACCTTCACTGTCGGCGAGGATATCCCAGCAAAAGAATAATGGAAAATCCGTGTCATTACACGCTTTATACGCGTTTAAGTCACTTTTGATATTACGTTATTTAGACCACATGAACTATATCAACTAATTTCAGAAAGAAATATTAAAAGAAAATTTAAACTTAAGAAAATGCGACAGTTAGCGGCATTGTGGGTAAAATGTGTGTTAGGGAATCATCACATTTACATTATACATATACGTTGTTAATGCTGGAGAATAGGAACGAATGTGTTTGAATAGTTGATAATTGTGCCTTTTTACAAAAAGATGCACAAATATCGTGTGGGGTGGGGGGTATGCGATATACAAAGAACGACATACCCGACAAAATGCAGAGACACGCTCACAATACTATGTAGACTAACACCCATGGTTGTAGGTTTCGAGCAGGTGAATTCAGTGACTAAATGGGCAGAATTGAGAATACCTCTTTAGTCCAAAATGAAAAGGTGGAGGGTATAAAGTTTTTGTTTCATAATACTGTAAGATGATTTGCGCTTGTGTACATAGCATACTTTATGTCTCTTAAGTTTCTTTGAGAACCTGAGAAATAATAACTGAAGAGATTCTGCCTTCGTTCTGCTTATATTGAAGGTGTAAGTTCATCATTTGGTCGAGTCGTCGATGAATATGAGAGTTTTTGACTTCATTTATGTGTAATTTGATTCAATGCTTTGCAGAAGGCATATGTTTTACATAAGACTTGATAAGTTCGAATGAATACTTAAACTGTTATATAGTAAAACAAGATCATCGCATAATAACGCTTTTGCAAGATTGATGAAATAATTTAACTTAAATAGCATGAATATATCAAATATAACTTAAATAAACTTGAGGAAATAATACGTTATCTTATTTTACAATTCTTTAGATTTTATATTTGCAAAATTGACAAATGGTGTCACTTGCATTCCGAAACAGAGTAGATCTTTACAAACACCCATGAATGAATTGAAATTCTTAATAACCAATTGTGTGTTGCCTCACAGATGTTGACATTCGTACGAATGTCGTAGTACTTGCTCTAAGTAATTTATGCTTCAAAGCCTTTATCTGACATTTAAAACTTGATGCTGATCTAGAATATTTCTATTCACATTTTACTATATATAAATACGGATGAATGTTAGAGATCAAACTTAGTAAATGCTTAGCTACATTTAATATGTATTAATTGGTATTTGAAGGAAACACTAATTGAAGGGAAGAAATTTGGAACTAGTCTCATGAAGTATATTGCTCGATTTCCAATCCTTTTGTGATTTCCAATTTTTTGACCGTCTGTCCGTCTTGTAACAAGTTTTGATTTTATAGACAGTTTTTTAATTCATTCTTTGTAAAAATAATTATATTTATTCCAACTCCAACGTTTTATTTATGGTGATTTAATCACAACACTTGTAGTTCATAACCCAGTTAACTGCGGGGTTCTCTAACTCAGATAAGAATGTCTCTAACACAGTGTGATTTGCGACCCCCTTTGAAACTGCGATAAAATTTTTATAAATTTAACAATTTTTCAGTTTTGCACTTGGCAGCGGGTCTTTATGTTAGAAAACATACATTTGAAGAATTTGATTGACGTTCGCAGTTGAGAGCCAGAGTTTGTTAATCATATCTGACTTAGAGTGGCTTCGGATTGAGTTATTAAGGACACAAAGCGTCAACTTATTTTAAATTAATTTTATCAATCCAATATATTTGTGTAATTAGTTTTAGAAGAAGAAATTTAGTATAAATCGAGTTGCCAAACCTTAAAGTTGGTTTTAGTTGAATTTTTATCGTTTTTGGTGTTAGGTAGTGATACTTAAAAAATTTTTTGAAGCATATTTAAAATAGAACGAATAGAACTGAGGATATCTGAAAAAATGAATTGGATATTAAAAAAATTCTGTTTACTTAATCTCTTCTATGGTAAGTTCCTATTTTCATATATTGAAATAACTTGATCTGTGATCTAAGTATAAAATATTTTATTAGAAAGTGTTAAATTAATAAATGATTAATTTCATTAATTAAATTCCAAAAAGAATAAAATACTTAAAAATTAAAAGCACCCAAACATATAAAAAAACGCAGCAAACTTAAAATATTGCGAAATAGAAGAAACTGAAAATTTGTGTTTAAGGTACAATAATTGAAAAAATTATTAAAATGATGAAATAAAACATAAATATATAAATTAACTGCAAACTAACATTAAATACAGTCAAACTTCCATAACTCGAATAAAAACATTGTTTCGTGCCAACAGGAATATGGGAAAGTGCATTCTATAAGTCGAATTTCTGTTAAAAGTATGAATTCATTTCGGTATTTGGGGAAGTCCCTTTTTCCAAAACAAGTGTTTAACAAGTGTTTTTCTTTCGTATGTTGCTTCTGGTTTTTTGTGTAAATGCATAGAATTGATATTTTTTCCGCCGAGTATGACCTCTAAATTGCAACCGCTTTAAAGTGTAACTATCGTAAATCAAAACAGAATCGTGAAGGAAGCACTAAAGCGTATAGAAGCAAACAAAAAGCAGGATATGACACTTATGGATTGCATAAATCATGTAGCAGAAGCTTGAGATATTGATGTAAGTAGTGAAACGATAGCGCACTGCTGAAGAAAAGCTGAATTTGGCCAATTTTCGACATGGAATCAACAGGACGACATTCCTTTAATTTTCTTGAATATCATTGATAAAGACCATGAATTGATTCAAAAATAAAGTAAAAATAAAGCAGATAAAATAACTTCCAATGCTACTCCTAACGATTATATTAAGCTTGACAATGAAATATTATTGAACATTATAGCTCTGAAATAGTGAATCCGATTCTTAGCGCAACGGAAAGTGATGATGAAGGTTCGGTGGATACAATTGTTGATCAGCCTTCCAAGAATAAATTAGAAGACTCATTCAAAATTCTAAATTTATATTTGGAAACGAATGATACTACAACTGATGATCACTATAAGGTTTTGAATAAATTGTAATTGGAATTTTCAGTAAAAGAAAATAAGAAAAAAAATTGAAATCCGAAACCCTGATTTCTGAATATTTTACTTTACTATAACTTCAGTGTTATATTTGATTTCAAATAAATAAATAAGCTTATGGAGACTTCTCTAACTCGAAGTCTCCATAAGTCGAAGCTTTTCTATGCAAAATGGTACTTCGAGTTATAGAAGTTTGACTGTATATATAGTTATAGTAACATATGTAGTAACTTCTTTATAATTCAAAACTTGTTTTGCAACGTAAAAAAAAAAACAAGAACTTATGTTGAATTTATATCGTATTGCTGTTACATAATTATAATATAGTTTTATATATATTATAAAATTTATATAATAGTTTTATTAATATAGTTTTATTATAGTTTTAGTAAGACCATTTCATCCGCTCATGCCTTGATATTAACGCATGAATACACTCGTGCAATGTTTTGTTAAGGGACAGTTTTCTCTTTGCCAGATTCTCACTTTATTAGAAGTTATATTTTATATATAAGATTATTGACTGGCATTTCAACGGTTGAAAGAGATAGTTTACTACGTATATACTGGCATTATCGTCAACTGTTTCTGTTTCTGAATGTGCATTACTATAATTTACATAATAAGGTTGTCATGAACTTTAAATATAAAGGACATTTATCTTGACAGAATTATGAATATAGTTATTAGCGTACTTAGAAAACTAATTAGTTGGAAGTGAAAATTATTTTTATTCGAAAATCATTCGTTTTTTCGGCATTACAAGAACTGCATTTCAGATATTGACGAAAAAATAATGATTTCAGCTTAGAATGAAATCTGCTTGTATCTGCTTCAAGTAACGTATGACATTATAAATTATATCCATAATTGGGACAAACGGAGAAAGTGATTCAGGAAACTACTAGGGCTGATGACCTGACCTAATTTTATTGTAAAGTTTAATATAATTTTTTTTGTTTTGCTATATACGACGTGTTTATATACCTCATACCTACATTTGCTTTCCTTTCATATTTTTTGCTCACCGACGAGCGACTGGACTCCAAAAATTTTTGTTAAAATCTAAAGAAGGTAATTAAATGTGAGTTTTTAATTGTGATTGTTGTTGTTGTAAAATGTAGAGCATGAAAAAATAATTAATTAGTCATCACTAACGATTAAAATGCAGTCCAAAAGGGAATTGTGTTGATGGCTGAAACCAGTTCCAGAACGACGCACAGAATCACTCAATCTTAAACTTTATTAAAGGATGTCAGCGACTACCGCGTAGAGACTTCAGCAGAAACCTCAAGCTGAGATGATACAAAAGAAATGCCCTCAAATGAAATGTGAAACGTGTTTTAAATGTTTTTTTTTATAAAATTGATGAAAATATTTACTTAACTTTTACACAAGAACAATTATAAAACAATAATAACACTATAACATCGTATGTCAGATACTACGAATCTCTTCACCTGAGGTGTGTGCGCGGCTACGAGCTTGATTCATTATCGACGGAGTTATCAGTTTGTTTTGAACTTCAGAATCGTGATGGTGTGGAATATCAAACAAATTTTGAAAAATATTCAATATATCAAAGTTTAAAATTTCTTAAATTGTTGTATTTTTTTAACATATATAAGACTTAAATTCATCACGTCACCATTATTCACATTAATAATGTCGAACTCATTGGCTTGTATTTGTAATATCATAAGTCCATGTCGCAATGAAATCGCTACCAGCTTTGTTGTAGTACAATGGTTTTTAGCTAGCTTCGCAGCCATTGCGCAAGTCGTGCGTCCAGTTTTGTTTTTCTGTGTGGTTTATATACCTATTTGTCCATAGAATTATACAGTATAATGTTTTGAATTTATTCTTTTCAGTTGGTTTACGTGCTCAAGTTGAGCTTACTGAAGAGGACTATGCGAAAACATGGATGTACATGCCTGATGGTGACGGCCACCCAGAAGTTGCGTATTTGGTGGAACCACCACCAGATGGACATAGAACTGATATACCACAATTGATAGAGTTCGAGTATTATAATAGGTAAGTCATTTGATAAAAAATGATTTATGTATATACTATATATATATATATATATATATATATATATATATATATATATATATATATACGAAGCGTATAAATATGTTCTTAAAATGGTACACGTTTCTTAACGATGCTTAATCTTCTTTAATTTTTTCACTGAGGGTTGTTAACTAATTTTTCAATTAATTAACAATCCACGGAGGTACCGTGAATTATGATTATACTCCACGGCTCTCACTCACGTTAATTCACAATAATATTGTTAGAATGTATTCGATTTTTGTTTTTCTATATTACCTCCAAAATGTTAATCAGTTTCAAAAGACAATTTCTGAAAAATAAATTACTATAAAAAAAAATGCATGCGAAATACGAAAGAGTATAAAAGATGCAGCCATAGATGCATCACAGATGTACCGCACCGCATACCGGCTTAGTTTTGCTCTTTACATTAATAACAAGATCCCTCCTATCGAAATGTTCGTCCATCTACATCTGCTTGTTATGCTATGAAAATATAAAAGTGGAATTGTCACAACTTTGGCTATTGACAAGGAGTTTCAGCTCTATACATTGATGGCATATCTTTTTTAAAACACCGAACCTATAACAGTTCGGTTTTTATTAAGCTTTAGTCAAATATATCAGATTCCGTATTACCATAACATCTGTTTTGACTAAACTTAGGTCATTGTATAGGCTATGCTGTTATATATGACTCCAATAAATTAGTTGTGCCTATACACTGAGGTGGAACGTATTTAAATGTTGTTGCGGATTAGTTCCAATTCCTCTATATTTTTCTATTTAACTTTATCCATCCCCAATGTTTTATTTCGGTATATTGTTGGTTTATACTAACAAAAATGACTTCTAGCCTATGTATAGTATTTAATGTATTCGGGAAAGTACTATCAGAATTCTTTTCAAGTCAGCTTCAACAGTACGGAGTAAAATTTTTGTTGTACTACATCGTATACTACATCGTATTCGTTTTTCTTTTAAAGATACTGGCGCGCTCTGAATATCACCGATGCCAAATTATTGTAAGGAAATAAAAGAGAACTTCTTTGCATTAATCAAGTTCGCTTTAAAGAATCTACCATTTAGATCTAATTCTTATTTTCAAATAATCTTGCGTTCGAATTTTAGTTGGAATACATTTTTTTCAGAATATAAGTTTAGTCTTTTTGTAAAAGTTAATCCACGATATCTTGTCACAATTTTTGGGAACTAATACATTATATTGTCAATTTTTATTCAAGTAGTAACTGAAAGATTCTACCATCACTACGAGTATGACTGCTTTCATATAATATATATATATATATATGCTTTCCAATAATTATATGATATGCTATATAATATTATAGTTATGTATTTACTTTTGTTATTTGTATTTAATTGTTTCATACTATAATGGCAATTTTCTATAATATTTCAGTGACAATACCAGTAAGCCGACCTCAGCTGGTTTCTGGGTAAGTGAAAATGATATTACATTTAGAAGAAGAAAACGCGACACTTGGGAAGAAATGGCAGAAAAATTTAATCCCGAATTGGATACAAAAATTTTAGTGCATGGCTGGAAATCTAGCACGCAAAGTAATTCGATACAATCTATACGTGGAGCTTATACAATGCGTGGAAAGGTTAATGTCTTTGGTAAGCTTAGAATAGAATTATACACTTTGTCATTTAAGTTCATTCTTCCATATTTGAAACAGCAATAAACTGGAGAGATCAAGCAGATAATATATACTACTTGAGGCCAGCGCGGTATACGGTTCAAGTAGGCAGAGCCGTTGCGAAATTAATTGATTTATTAGTTGAAGAGAAGGGTGCCGATTCAAAACGCATACATTTAATTGGTCACAGTTTGGGTGCGCATATAATGGGCTACGCTGGTTCTTATACTAAATATAGAGTGGGTCGCATAACAGGTAAAAAAATTATAAAAATTTTTATTTATTGTTTATGTAAAAATTGTATTATATACAACTTTATACATAAGTTAACATGTAGTACATACCAACATTTTGATAAATATAAATATGTTCAATTATATGAAAATAGGTTTAGATCCAGCACGCCCAGCATTTGAAGACTGCATTGGACCAGAGAATCATTTAGATCCAACTGATGCAGATTTTGTTGATGTTATTCATAGTTGTGCAGGCGTACTCGGTTTCAGAAAACCCATAGGCTTTGTTGATTTTTATCCAAATGGTGGTGGAGCTCCACAACCTGGTTGCTCTGAACTAAGCCAAATTTTTAGTAAGCATTTCTAAAAGTAACTTTCAATATCAAACTTTTTCCTGATATTATTTGAATTATTTAACTATAAATGAAAAAATTTTTCTTGCAGCTGGGTGCAGTCATGGACGTTCCTATGAATACTTTGCTGAGTCTGTAAATAGTGACAAAGGATTTCATGCAAACCAATGCACTGTTTTTGAGGATCTTGTTCATAAAAATTGTACCGGTGGTAAAATTTTGATGGGTGATCCGGTGCCAAAAGACGCATCAGGCATTTTTTATGTTAAAACCTCAAATAAACCTAGTTTTGCATTAGGCATGGAGTTGTAAATATTTTTTTATTATCAATTTTTAATCACTTCTCTCTTTATTAATTGTACTTTAATTTATGTATCAAAATAAAAACACGTAATAATATCACAAAATGTCTACTATTGTTGACAAAATGTGCACTATGACCTTAAAGAGCTAATGTGGTCATCGTCGATAATATAAATAATATATAAAAATGAATATAATACTAAAATATAAACAATTTTTAAACTTAATCTTATATAAATATTTAATAGCTAATTTAGTTGATAACTAATTCGTGAATATGTGCGCAAAATTCGATCTGAAACCTATCTACAAGTTACTTAAGCTGTAACATCTATTGTTTCATGCAGGATAGTAGTTGTGTTGTCATTACTGGCTCCATTGCTAATAATATCCTCTGATCTCGGTGCAACTTCATAATGTATATAGCCATCCACATCATCTAGTTCCTTTGAAGAAAATTTTGCTAAAAGTGTGCCGCGACCGGCGTAGGGTGGTACATATTTAAAAGTTGAAGCTGCTATTCCACTGACTGGAATTTCAGCAATCTACGAAGAAATAAATAATGTCACATATAAGTATTGTGAAGTATTCTACAAATTTCACCTTAAACCGTAAAGGTTTCTCAATACCAGGTCCTTCCACATAGAAAATACCTTTTTTTAGTGGTATGGGTAGAGGATTTGTTAAACGTATAATAACGTCAACAGATTTATGTGACACTATTTTTCCCTGAAAAACGAATTTTATGTCTGGCTTACGTACACGAAAATCGTCTTGCGCATAATATTCGAATTCGGTACCCTTGACACGTGCTGCGCATGATATATTAAAGGCACTCTAAATATCAAAAAAAATTAGTTGTATACTTTATATGTATATATGTTGTAGATAATTTAATGCAACAGTATTTACTTGTGACAATAGTTTATTGAAGTATTCTTCGAAAATTACTTCCATGCGTACATATTCTTCGGATTCCGGTTTAAGTTCCAGTTCGAAACCCATTGTCTTAACTTCGCCCGCATTAAGACCAGTATAAAGTACCGTATCACAATTTAACTGTCCACTAGCAAAATGTGTCTTCTCTTTGGATTTATTACTGACTTTAAGCACAACAGTGAAACTTTCTCCAATTTTTATATCATCCTTTAATTGCATATCAAATTCAACCTCATTAAAGCTATCGTTCAAATAGTAACGACTAAATGCATGTCGGGCTTGTTTAAGTGCCTTCAACATTATATTTCTTTCCTCGTCAGATTTTTCTTCATACTTATAAGTATCGGTGATATCTACACGGTCCCATTTTAACACAGATTTGGTACTTATTAAATGACCAATGGCTAAAGTATCTTTGCGCAACATTTTTATTGGCTGATAAGGTCCATTATAACGCCAATAAACTTTATCTGCATTTACCTCAGAAAACACAAAGCCGCAATCATATTGCCTTAGTATTTCACCATTTTTAACAGCCGTTACAGCTGCTGGTCCCACACGATACATATTATCGGATTGTTCCTGTGGCGTAGCATCTACAGCTTGCCAACCATCATAGCTACCATGCTCACCAATACCTAAATCCGGTCGTTTCATCCAAACTTCATTCCAGACATGATAATTCCAAATAGAATCAGAAGTTTCTGCATCCATTTTTTTGTTATTGCTATCAATAAAAATATCTACAGTCAGTGATGCCTGCGTGTCATGTGCCGCTGAGTAACAGGTTACAATTCGCGATGGTATACCAAGAGCACGAGCAATTGTTGTCAATACACCAGAAAAGTTCCAGCATTGCGCAAATTTAACTGGTTTTTGTGTTTTATAAAATTGTTGTAGAATTTCAGTAGAACCAATCCATTTTGTTGGTGCCGTACCACCAGAAAAATCTTCTGACCAATTTCCCAATAACACACCATCATCATCAACAGAATTAACAGCAGCCGATAATGCACGCGCAACACGCACAGGATCACCACGATAGGCAGCTGGTATACGACCGACTGTACCAAGTAAGGCAATTGAGCACTCTAAAATATTACGCTCAAATTGGCCCAGTTTCCATATAGATGGACGCAAGCGATTGTAAGAACCACGCCAAATTAAAGTTGTATCATGCATTACATATTCCTTTCGTTCATCATAATTTTCTAAATAAACTTGATCATCCATATTCCAAGGATTAAAAAGTATATACAGAGAAGCAGGCAGTTTACAAGTTTTTGAACCGTTACCTAAAAGTTTTGTATCAATATCAAGTCGCCATTCTGTAACAGGGCAAGTAACTGCGGGTTTTATTAGTACGGTCAATGTGTTGCCCTCATGGGCTTCTATACCAGCACCCCACTCTAATGGATCACCCAATAAATCAATGCCGTCTCTTGGCACTATGCCTATCAAAGTGCCATGTCCGGGACTAGGCTTCTTTTCATCGGCTACAGTGAATATAAAACTGATAGCATCACGGTTGGGATTAAAGGGGCGATTGAAATGAATACGCAAGCGAAAAGGATCTCCCCGACGTACAATCAAAGAGTCTTTAGCCGCATGGAAATGATCAGTGTGATGTTCATCGTTATTCTGTGCTAAATACAAGTCAATAAAAACTACACCCAAAACATCATTTAGGGTGGCATCTGAAAATAAATAATTAAAAAATTAATATGCTATGAAATATAATAAGTAAAGCAAATTTTATAAACCAATCAATAAAAAATAATAATGAAAACAACTAATAAATATAATTATAATAATAATAATAAAATAAGTAAAAAGATATTATCAGAAATGATAGATCACTTTGCTTTTAAGCTGCTCTTTAGATACTTTTTCAACAGATATAATGACATCAACAGTTAAAAATGTTTTTACCCAAAAATGTATGTTATTTGTTAATATGGGCTCCATTAAGAGAGATAATAATTGCAATGCTTCGCTAATATATCTATGTGGTTCCTGTGAACGACTTATCTATATCCGAAGCGTTAAATTCGGAAATGATTTTATTGTTGGAGTTAAATCTTTTCTTAGAAAGTTGGAAGGAAGAGCAAATAAAACTATTTTTGAAGCCTACCATAAGAACCAAATAAACATTCTTCTTGCCTTTGTGTTGTAATGCTCCAACATTTGATGTAGCGACCGCAATTGAAATGTACGTTTCTTCAACACAAACTGGAATAGCGAATAGACCAATAATTCACCGTGCCTATTCACTTACAAAATCAATGCAATATGTAATGATATCTTTGAAATAGTTTCAATTGTAAATCAGTTATTCATTATTAAATGAAGCCATTATTGACCTGGGGTCTGGGTCTTTTGAAATCAATTTTTAAATTTTAATTTGATTGGGTAGAAGTGACCCTGTCTATTCGTACTTGGTGATCTGAGAGCATGTGTTTGTGTAATATATGAATTTTGTAAGGTAATCTAGTTTTTGAAACAAAATTATAAAAATTCCGGTATGATTAATTTAATTTTAAAATTATTAATATTAAGACAATATGCCAAAAAAAATTAAAAGAAAATATAAAATTTAATAAAACTTTTTTAAATAATATTTTTCACTACAACCTTTTAACAGTCGATGTCTTAAGTGTATACCTGTTTTGCTTCTTTGAGTACTAATCGTAATATTGTTTAACAATGCTTTGCACTGTTCTCATAGATGCGTGAAAGGGGCGTAAATATCAGGTCATTTATCCCGTGAATTGTTTGAAAAGGCAAACTAACTGAAATAAAAGCAGGTGTAAATAATAGGTATGTTTCACGAGCTACTCGTAGTAACTTTGAGTAGCACTGTGTATACACAAGTGCGTTTTTCCAGCAAATTATCGAGTAAATGAGAGCATCTGAGGGAGCGTAACATCCCTGTTGAAACATCCTGAATTTATACGACTTCACTCGTATATATTGTTTCAAGTAAAATATGTGTTGATGTATGAATCAGCTATTTTGGTTAGAATTTAAATTTTTGTATTGTTTATTTGCGCGGCACTGATGTTCTCACGAGACCTTAAACAAACCTGTTCCATGAAAATCTGTGTAAAGAGCGTAATTTGGCAATTTATTTGTGTTACGCTCTCAGTTTGTACTTTACTTGTGTTTTACTCGAGTTTTACTATGAGTAGCTGGTGGAGCAGACCTTATATAACAGTAAGGTGTTCGGGTGGGTTATATTATTCATATAATATATGTCATTAGCGTTCTAAGATACCTAAGAATAAATTGAGCATGGAATAAGCATGTGATATAAGTGGCCAGTAATCGCTCAATTAATATTTTCCGCGAGAAAAAAAAGATTGTAATATACTGAACAATTCTTTCCACTACGCTAAACGTCGAGTTAGCTTAGTTGTAAAGTTTTTATATAAATTATACTAAAAAACTACACCAACTGGCGGCAAACTAATATATGTGATATTGTCTGAAATTAATTACCAGCATGAAGATGACTTCAAGAGAGTCCTTCAGAAAAAAAGTAAGAAAATTTTTTGAAAATGTATCTCTGTGCTCTATACCGTATAGGTTCTTAGAGAAATACTAAAAATTACTTATTAATTTATAACTACTTATCTTAAAAACTCTAATATTACATCAAAAATAAATTATTAATTATATTAAACTTTTATATTAAGTGTCAGTTATAAATAATAATAAAAGAAGTGTTAGGGAAGTATTTAATTTGTATTTTATTTTTACTCTTTATTCTTTATGACATCTGTCCCGCATAGTATGTCTTCAATTTAGCATAACATTGGCGTCATTTGCTCTTGATGTATTAATATTATTGAATTAAAAATTTTCCATGTATTCCAAATCGTTCTCTGGTTTTACTTGGACTATTTTGAACTGGTTTTTTTTCGAAAATATTGGCCCATATTATACCGCAAACTGCAGTTGTTCATGATCGACTAAAACCGTTTGAAACTATTTTTAAAAAAATGACGTACTAGTTAATAGTATTTTTTTCTCTTTAAATATAGAGAACAAATGTAGGAATGCAATTAATTTAAATAAATTCTAAAAATGATTGGCAATACAAAATGTAGGCATAAATTTGAAATGAGTGACGCAGCGTGCAAAACTGGCGCCCGAGGCACCATAGCTTTAAGACGTTCCCCGGAAAACATACATATATTGCTTAAATGTATGGATATGCTTTCTACTAAGAGAAATTAATTAGTTTTAGTACTGAACTTTTTGCGTAGAAAACAAATGTGATTGGAATAGAATTGAGTCATGGAAAAGACAATAAATAAGAATGCCGCTAAGAAATTTTTTCAAATTGGAGCAATATTAAAGACACCCTATAATATATATTATATAAATATTATATAAATACAATATACTATATAAATATAAAATATATTTAGAAAATCAAAGACTTTCGTTTCTCTTTGTAATTGCAATAAATCTTATAGTTTTACTATTTATTCGCAGTTATTTAGAAACGCTTTGATTGTTCATAAATCCATTTTTAATTATTAAAAACGTGAAAATTGCAATTAATTAAGCAAAAATAAAAATTTAATATTCATTCCAATCTAAGTTTCAAGTAAATTACGAAACGTTATGTATTGATTGTATTCGTAAGGTAAACAAGATAGGCTTATTGCCAAAGTGGTTCTGGTGATTATGGTAACTAAACTAATACAGACTATCTACGGAATGTAATGATTATTGTTATTATTGCACTACGTTGGCATCACTCTAGGCATTTGTTATAACAATCAGACAACTTTTGGAAACTCGTAAACTTATTAGAAGTGCTGTCTCGGGTATTGAGATTAGATTTATATTCACATTTATACCAATTTATATATTGCTATACGTATAAACTAAGTATTAAGAAAACATACATACAGTATTAATAACATACATAATATAGAGAGCTTTTATAGAGAGCTTTATAGCCCTGTAGAGACAGGGCTTCGAAATGAAACTGAACCGAACACAAAAAAAAAAAACATTTTTATCTGAATAATAACTGATATCAAGCTTTTTTTAGATTCCACCAGAATATAAAACAGGGAAAGAAAAAATTCCCAATTCAAAACCCTGAACGATGACTATTACATATGTATTTTTTGAATTGAACCAGAATGAAAACAAGAACGAAAACATTCCCAGTTCAAAGACTTCAGTAAAGGTTCTTGTTTTCCATTTAGAATTTAAATATTGAGTATTTAACAATATATAAACCAGGTATAAGGTTAGCTCAAAAAATGGTTACAGGCTCCTCATCTAAGATCAATTATTACTTAGTCTGATGTAGTGATAAACAATAATCCAGTCAAGGCGTAGAAAGGAGTTATGAAGAAACCTTGCAGTTAACACAGAGTAATAGTGCTCAAGTACACTGACTCAACTAGCCTCAACATAATAATAATATAAGTTTAATTTTAGAGTAATATTTTTTATTGGTACTTATTTTTTATTTGAAACAGATTCTTCATTATTCTTCATTACTATTAATATTCATTATTATATGTCAGTAAAATAGTGGCATAATTAATTTACAAAAATTTATTCTTTATCTTTTATTTTATGATAAAATTTATTTCAACACATATAAGCGCTTCCAATAACCTTTAAGTCCCGGGCTGTCTACATATTAATTCGCTATTGCCAACATTTTTTGACAACATAGACTAGTTATGTTTCAAATCAAAGATAATAAGTTTGGTAATATTTTCGATATGTAGGCTGCAGTTTTTTATTTTTTTATTTAAATAATGTGAGGTAATCTTTATAGCAATATATATTTTTTTTATTGCCATTTATTCAAAAATAACATTTTTATTTTATGAGTTGCTTAAAAAGCACAGAAGAAGATTATCTATGCATAACAAGATTAGAGTGCCATTTTCTACGACATATGAGAAACAGACTTGAAACCGAAATCAAGGTAAGTGGCTCACGCATCAACAGGCAAATAACTTCAGAAAAGAAATCGAAAGAAATAAGTTTTTGTAAGAACTAAAGCGCCGTTACGTTTGCGTAAATAACATGAGAAAAATCTTATAATTCCAAAGAATTTATTCATATTCACAGTTTGATGATGAACACCTATTAATCAGCAAAGGTCCATAGCCCACGGGTGAGATGCGGTTGACAGCATCAACAAAAACAACAAAAACAACAAAAACAAGACCCACTAAGTACACAAAGCATCAGAGACGCTTTGAGAAACATGGATTTTTTGCTGGGGCGAGCAGGAATACTCGTATTGACCGCTATGTCACAGAAGAGGTTAAATATTCTATAAAAAAAGTTGCTTGCATAAAGTTATTATATGTTTGAAGTGTTATTTTATTTATAAGAAACAACAGACATAATGTTTGTATTGTATTTATTTATACATTCTTTAGTATGATAAGCCATAGAAAAAACTAGTAAAACGTGTGCGCAGAAATGCTTCGAAAATATTTAAATACCAGAAAATATTGAAATGAAATGAAGTCATACACACGCAATATTTACTCGTCCATATTCACAGTATCTAACAGATTGTCTATGCTGTGCAGTATCAAAAGATAAATATTAATAATTCACATAAAATAGAATTTTAATTTTCGTGAAATGACCGGAACAAACAATGGAGTATAACAAATTTAGGAGTGTTTGGTTAAATAATGCGAAAAATTTGGACAGCTTAATAGCGAGGTGAGAAGTAGTTAGAGAGTTCCAACTTCTGGTAATGACTCATAGTTTACCCCTACTCTCTTTTTGTAGTATTGGTAATAAATATTTCATATTGGAGATACCCTAGTTTGCTAGTTTGCGATACCCATACCCATACACAAATATTAATATTTTCAATTGGAGACAACAATTACCTATTGTGATGCTAGCAAGTTGCCAGAAGAAGAGGGGAGTTAGATACATTAAACGTTGTTTTTATTATAACTCCGTGTGGTTTTTCAGATTGACCATTCCCCATTATAATTTTAATGGTTTTAAATGTATGTTGGATTGATACAATTAGAAAAGAATTCCAGTATCTATCCGGGGTAATATTTTAGATAGATGAATACTCGCACTGTAATCAAATTTTAAGCAAAGAAAGATAGAATCGAAGTTATTGGAGTGAATAAATATAACACCCAGTACAAAGAACAAGCTTTTTAATTATTGCTCATCGAGATAAATTAAATTTAAAGAATTTTAAAATTATTGGCCTTTAAATATTTTGTAGCCAAATTATTCCAAAATAATTTTAGTTGCTTGTTTTCTAATATTAAAATATTATTTGAGTTAATAAAACACAAAATGTTTAAGACTATAAAATTGTAAATATTCTTATAATATATTATTTTTTATTTTATGAAATGGTGCGTCTAAATTTTGAAAATGATAAGACTGAATAGAGAAAAGTAACATAATCAAAAAATGAACTTCATTTATACAGATCATTTATGCCACACATCCTATACGTACTGTAGATAACAAATAAATAGTCGTTCTGAAAACTATATTAGAGATGATCTAATATAAAAATAATTTAAAAATTATCGTTACTATCGTTAGATAAAATGACAGAAACATATGTTATCTTGATTAAGGAGGAATTCATTGTTTGTGGAAGTAATATAAGTAACAGAAATGATAACTAGAAGATTTAAAAAAAAATGTTTATTCGACGAATGTTAAATTGGAGTCAGTAGAAGACTAGAATATTTAACAAATATTTTTCACAAGGAATTTATTTCGATTTAATAGGTAATTGATTAATTAAATTATTTTTCAAGAATATCATGTACTTGAATAACTCGAATTTTTACAAAAGATTTAGTATATAAGAGGAGTTTATGGCATATCTAAGCGTATACAATTTTTTTAGCTATTTAAAAATCAGACAATTTCAGTGTGACACTGAATAACTCAGTTTTCATTTATTTAATTTACCAATATAACGAAATTAGTTACCATATAAGAACCATAAGCAACACACGGGTATATTGTATAGGACGATCTAACGCATCGTACAAAAATACTTAATACTTACGGCTATCTTTTACGTAGAACTGTAAAGGAAACAATTAAATAGAAATCATTAGATGGTATAATAGAGTCAATTTTGTGATAAGACAATAATTATACTATTCAATTTACATTTCGAGAGGCTGTAAATGAGTCTAAGATCACAGTATACTAAGTATCGAGTATACTAAGATCCAAGTATACAGACGAACTTATAAAAGTAATTATAACAATAAATATATTGTACATCTTTTTCGTTTATAATTACAAAATTAGAAAAAATTAATTAATAAGCAACCGACTAATAAAATAAACTGGCGCCAATAAAATATATTCCCTTTCTTGATGATAGATTTTCTAACTACAGAGAATCTTCACATATCATTCTTAAATATATAGATGGTAACTTATATAGTGATATTCAGCTAAGTCCGTAGTGTATATGCAAACATAAATAAACAATTAACAAGTGATTTATATCAGCCAAGCAGGTCTAATAGGCGTACTACATGTGATATCCTAGTTCATTTGCTTGTTTTCAATATAATAATAATTAGCTAGACAATCAGGTTTGGATGTTTGTCCGCTGTAGCTTCTGCCACACTTCTTATTACAGTATTGTATTTTAAATTTTTTCAGTGACATTAAGCCCTTTCTGTGGTATTATCAAGGGGTTTTGACCTCTTGCGTACTGCTTCAATAACAGGGAATATCATTACCGCTTGACACTATTCTACCTAGATCAAAAAATTATATGGAGTTTCGAGGATTTGTTGTTTTTAATTTGTCTTGCTTTTTATCCCGGTTTTGTTCGATTTAACACCTCGATATTAAAATTTTTTTCGAGTTGATTTGCGTGATTAGTATGCGATCGATTAAATATGTATATTAATAAACTATGCAAATTGCGAGACTATAAGGTTCCATATAGGAATATAAAGAAATAATTACAATTGAATTTCTAACAAATTTTCAAATGTAAAATACAAATAGATTGTTATATGTGTTAATAAATTCTGAGATTTCACCGTTTGAGAAATTTCTCAGTACATAAATGTATGATAAAATTTATATATAATACAATTATGTAACAAGGTTTACGAACATTTTTAACTAACAAGTACTGAAGAATAAACACAATATTTCGACTTAATCGAGAAGCGTACCATGAATGTCCAATGCTTAGAAATCATGAATCACTTGTGCTTAACGGTTGCATTAATATATAAAATCACAACGGTTAAGAAGGACATACATCTACGAAAAGTATGAATTTTCAAAAAATAATCCCAAAATATTTACTACTTAGAATGTTCAAGACGCATGGACTAAGGTGTACAAAATAGAGACAACTAAAATTGCTGACATATCGTTCTGAACGTAGATTGATATCTGATTAGATAAAAACATTCGAAGAAGGTATAAGTTTAAGTCTCAGGGTTACATTGATTATTATTATCTCATGAGTTGTTATATAGTATAAGATCTGTTTATATTATAATGATTTAAATTATTGTAAAATAAACAAAATTATTATAATTCAATATGGAATTTTTAATAAGTTACTAAAAGGAATAGTTTTTCATTATATGGAGTATAACTATTATTATAAAATTAGTTGTAGAAAGAGAACAGCTATTGCAGGATTTTTTACTTCAATAATTTCAATAATTTATTTAGAAAACAGTCATACATAAAGAATAAAAGAAATATTTTGAATTAAATTCTAAATAAAATGTGAAATCATAAATAAGATTAAAAATAAATTATTATATTATTTAATTATTAATATTTCATGAAGAGGTTTTTCTAAAAGTAGTGAACTACAACAACAAACATTCTTTTTTATATTAGTTTAATTAATTGGATTTTTGGTTGTTCATACAGCTATTTCGAGTATTGCCAAATACCCATCTATCAGTGGTCTTGGAAATAATTCTTGTATTTAATTAATCGTATGTTAAATAATTTTTTGAGACTGCAAATACTAGTAATTGAACTTGTGCCCTGCCAAATTTGAAGCTTAGAGTAAGCGTATTTTTTATTGGTATTTTATTGCTATTGGTATTTTTATATTGGTTTAAAATTAAATTGATGATACTGTTTTTAAGGCTTGTATGTAAAATAGTGAAGTTTCTGCACAGTTTCACAAAAAAAATTAATATTAATATCGACATTTTTACTGTAAAAGTAAAGAAAAGTAAAGAAAATGGAATCACTTTGAAATCCTAAATATAATAATATTGTTAATTAGACAATTAAAAGCTTCCATCGGTTCGTAGCTGCGTTTAATAAAATTATTTTTACCTAATATGACTATTTTCACGTAGAAGGGTGAAAGGGTGAAAGGGTAAAAAGGGTAATTATAAAATAGTGACTTATGAAAAAGTTTTTACGATTAAATTTGACACATATTTTTATTTGAGTATGAATATGATTATTTCGTTATAATACATAATTACTTGTTGCAGCTGGCTGTATGCTGCGATAAGGATTTACAGGACGTCTTGGACTCCACCAACGATGTACCCAATGAGGTACATAGCTTTCGTACCAAGTCGTCATGCTTATTAAACTTTTATTTGATTATTTTTTTTAAACAAAAATAATTTGAAAAAAAAAACACTTGAAACTTTATTTAAATACTCAATTAATGTGATGGTTCTACACTTATACTTATTTCAATATTTGTTATTTAACAACACAAATTTTTTTTTAAAATTCTTTTAACCGTTTTGAAAGTTCCATACGAACCCGCGCATTTACATCAACAAACTGAATGGTTCTATTCAAGCGCGCCCTCACAGCCTCACAGCCAGCGAATATCGTTTCCATCATTTTCAGCTGCTATTCGCTATTTTGTTCTTGCTTGCGCAGTGCGAGAAGGTAAGAGTATTTATTGTTTGTGTTGTTTTTGTATTGCTAAAGCTAACTAACACGTTTATAATAGATTCGCTCCTATACCAGTAACAACAACAACAACAACAACAACAACAACACTACCAACAAGAACGATTGTTAACATAATAATTATATTATATTCATATTCTACAAAAGCAACAAATCATTTATTAATATTATTAAAAATAGTTTAGTTTTTTGTTCTCTGTTTTGCTTCCATATATTTTTTATTTTTTTATGGACATCTCTGCATTAAGGGGAATTAATGCTTATGATTTAACAATTAAAATTTACATTTAAAGATGTCGTCATCGACACCCGATCAAGAAGCAGCATTGCGAGTAGTAGGCAGACAGCTGACATTTACTACGAATGAATTCTGCAGGTCTTTCATTCATGTAAATCCGCCTAAGTTCGGAATTCATGTCATTGATATGCTATGGTCGGTATAGGGAGCATGTGTGCTTAGAGCTAACTGAGCCTAATAATTTTAAAAGTCATATATATGGACATGACTTACCACTGTTTCCTGTTTTGTTAACAATAAAATGAAACTCTATATTGAAAGATTTCACAAAGGACTTTAGGTATCAACCACACCTAGCACGGTGATACATGCAAAACCAACCCAAATGTCTAAGGCAACAAAATATTGTGGGCATTCCGATTCTGCACTACTAGACTAGCATTAGATTTACTCAGTTACTACTAATTGTATTTCAAAATAGGACGATGTGACTTCCAATGGAGTTTAATTGCCTCTTACGATACATTGCCTCAGGAATATTCTAACATTAAAACTCACATATGCACATAGTTAGATTGATTTATCTCATCGAGTTGTAATAGAATACATAAATTTTATAAGATATTAAATATACCTTTTATTGCACTACCATATAAACAGTTTTGCAAACCTACATACTATTTTCACAATATATTATATTAGTGAACTGAATAAAAAGATTTTAATGGCTTAAAAGTGTTTGTTAGTAGATTGGTTTACTTATTATATTTTTTTAATATATTATCCATTAATAATTAATATATCAAACATAAATATTGATTACGTTTTTTTTATTAACATAAAAAGGCTTAAGATATTTACAATTTCTTATTATAAATTAAAATTATATTTTAATTTAGGTAATTATAATTTAGGTTACACTAACCTAAAAAACATGCAAAATATTTTATTAGCGATTAGTATATAAATTTAATATCATCTGAATTAAATCAATATCGATTCTTTAGGTTTTTTTTTTTCCAAATATAGTTAGGTAAAAATATGGTAATATATTAAAATCATTAAATAAAAACAGGAGTATATAGAGTTATATTGCAAAATAAGTTTAAACAAAAAATCAAAGATTCATTGTAAATCAAAATGGCAAATCGAAAGCTTAATAGAACCCTTAGAGAATATTGTGATGTAATATGTCATGGATTTGAACTGTTTTATATTATAATTATTATTATTAGAGGTACAATGCTGGTTGTATACTGCAGCTGTTGAGTTCTATTGTAATATTCCTAAACAAAGTCTTTTTATTTAATCTGGACAGATTAACAGTGCAATTCTGGCAACGATCTTTCAGCTCAGCATACTCAAGCGAAAGATCGTGCGAAAGATCTTTCGTATTCTGGCAACTGTCTTTTGCCAGACGGAATGCTCTTTTCGGTCTTTCTAAAGACCAAATGAAAGGTCTGCTATTGATCACATCCTTCGATTATCAGCTAAGATTTTGTTTGTGTGAAATTTTTTTTTTATTTTTAAATTAAAATATATAAATATTATAACAAAAATTAATAATTAATTAATTAATTTATTAAAATATATGAAAATAAAACAATTATTTCTAACTTCATTTTTAATAAGACGCAAACGTAAATGCATTGGTATATTATACTGTCTTTATTAAAATTTTAAAATATGTATTTTTTATATATTTATTTATAATATATCTATCCTCTAAATATATATGTTTATTACAATATATAATATATGTATCACAATATCCTTTAGTAATGTTTCTAGACATTTTTCGACTTCTAGAGAACAATGAAGTCATAATAATGTATTCGGCTCAATTCCTTATAAGCACAGAACACAAGCGGGGTCAATGAGTAGATGCAACATTCTGTATTTTACAAAATCCATAGATGTCAACATCTATTCTTTTTAGATCTATTTAGATTATGAAACTAATTAATAAAAATGTTGTTGACCTGGATAGGCATCATTTCGTCTTAATGAAAACACCGACAATAGCGTACGAAATTACAACAAATACTTTTGTTGTTGTTTTTCTTTATTTTGACTCATAAAATGACGTTAATATGCTGAGTGATTCTTTTAAATTATTAAAAAGTAAAAGTGATTTTTATATGGTTTTCTTGCGCCGCTAGTAGATGATTTGGATATATGAAAAGACTACATTGTGTGTATGGTATATGCCTATGTAGATTAAACTCTAATTTATTTCAATGCGTCAAGGGAGTAAGGGGTCAATGTGTAAAATCTAATTGAAGTATATCTATGATATAAATATTATGGGTATATACTGGAATATATTTAAATAATTTTTAATAAATTTTGAAGAAAATGTAATATTAAAATTTTAATGATTTTATAATTATTTATTTATGTATATACATTTATAATTTTCTTTTTCTTACTCCAGATTTCGAGAAAAAGAACAATTGCTGATGTGAGTAATTATAAGAATTTTTTTTGATAATTTTAAGCTTTACTTTGAGATCTCTTACAACACGACTTGCGATCACTTCCGATTTCTCTATGTGTAAGAAATTTATTTATAGATTTTTTTTCTTTGAATAGAGACTGTATGTGTCAAGAAAAACAGGGATTTTCCCAATGTAATTTTTGTGAAATTGTATTGCATATAAAATTGGATCATGAGTGATGTGGTAATCGGAATCGTGTAAAGGTCAATAGATATTATATGTATATATTTAAACAAGCTTTATAATAATATTTGCTTTTTAATATATAATTTTGTTAAAGTAGTAATATATGTTCTTAGGTTGGTTACCAGGAGTATTCCACTTTATTTAACCATTTCTAAATACTTTTATTGCAACTACAGTCAAACTTCCATAACTCGAAGTACCATTTTGCAAAGAAAAGCTTCGACTTATGGAGACGTCTCCATAAGCTTATTTATTTATTTGAAATCAAATATAACACTGAAGTTATAGTAAATTGAAATATTCAGAAATTAGGGTTTCAGATTTCAATTTTTTTTCTTATTTTCTTTTACTGAAAATTCCAATCACAATTTATTCAAAACCTTATAGTGATCATCAGTTGTAGTATCATTCGTTTCCAAATATAAATTCAGAATTTTGAATGAGTCTTCTAATTTATTCTTGGAAGGCTGATGAACAATTGTATCCACCGAACCTTCATCATCACTTTCCGTTGCGCTAAGAATCGGATCCACTATTTCAGAGCTATAGTGTTCAATAATATCGTCATTTGTAGGAAAGCTTGATGTACACATTTCATTGTGAAGCTTAATATAATCGTTAGGAGTAGCATTAGAAGTTATTTTATCTGCCTTATTTTTACTTTATTTTTGAATCAATTCATGGTCTTCATCAATGATATTCAAGAAAACTAAAGGAATGTCGTCCTGTTCGTCCAATGTCGAAAATTGGCCCTTTTCAGCTTTTTTCCGGCAGTGCGCTATCGTTTCACTACTTACATCAATATCTCAAGCTTCTGATACATGATTTATGGAATCCATAAGTGTCATATCCTGCTTTTTGTTTGCTTCTATACGCTTTAGGTCTTCCTTCACGATTCTGTTGTGATTTACGATAGTTACACTTTAAAGCGGTTGCAATTTAGAGGTCATACTCGGCGGAAAAAATATCAATTCTATGCATTTACACAAAAAACAAGAAGCAACATAAGAAAGAAAAAATTAAACACTTGTTTTGGAAAAAGAGACTTCCCCAAATACCGAAATGAATTCATACTTATAACAGGAATTCGACTTATAGAATGCATTTTCCCATATTCCTGTTGGCACGGAACAATGTTTTTATTAGAGTTATGGAGAAATTCGAGTTATGGAAGTTGACTGTATACTCATAGAAACAAAATTTGTCAGATTATATACATATGTATGTTATGTAGTTATAAGATATAGTTCATTATAAGCTTTATAGGACGCATTTCACAAATGAAAAGTTTGGTGAAAAGAAAGAGTTTCAGAAATTTTAAGAAGCAAGCAACGTATCAACAAATACGTAATCATCCAAGATCAGCAAAGAATAACTCTTGCCAATAGATTTGTGTCAATAATGTGGGTATACAGAGTTTGTTTCTATATAGAGATTTTTTAATACTTAAGATACAGTATGCAACTAGTTTAAAAGTCTGCTCTCTGAGTTCATCCATAGACCAAAATTGTGAAAGTTCGCACGGTGAATTAACAGCGTTTCATGCCAAGTACGTGACGATTTTCACTTGGAATTTTTCTTAATCGAAAATAAGCGAAAAATTCTAAAGTGAAACATTTTGACTTGCATTATTGCTTAATTGTGTTTAATTTATTTTATTAATTATTTATATTGTTTATTAAAATGTTCGTTAGTAGCAATTGTTGCATGCTTTTTCACACTCAAATTATTATTGTTCATTAATTTTTTGTTTAAAGAATGATTAATGCAAAAATCACGAGTTTTGTTTAGATTTTCGCCGTTCGACCCAACAAATTGTTCGCATATTTTAACAATTCATTTTCATTTAAACAAAATTAAGAGGAGGCAATCTTAATGTAAACATTAAATTAGATTTTTTGC